ACAATATAACTCAGAGGCGGACGTATCTTCTAAACGCACTACTCAATACAACACATGACCCCAATCTCCCTAACTCTGTAGCTCACAACATTCTATAAAGTTAGTAGTAACCATTAACAATTAGAATGTCAATTTGAGGTATAGGGAATATATTTATTAGTGATTCAGCACAGTATGCACAATCAACGATACTGGAAACCACTTTCTTCAGCAATGAATCCCACGAGGTCACTGGAATTACAGAGTAGCTAAAAAAGAAAACAAGGGTTCATAGGATGTATGCATAAATACAACTACTAATATAATCATTAACGAGTTAGCACAGTAAGAATTAATGGAAGTTTATATCAATATGCGATTACATCAGTCACTATTTTTGATACAAGTGGATATTTAGACAAAGTGACAAGAAGACGCAGTTTGTCCGAATTGTGTAGTGTTGTATTTGCGCAACACATTTTGGACAATCTGGTCACGCATGGACTTGTCATAGGAATACATACGAAATTAATAAAGTTAAGAGGTTAGAAAATAAATATAGGTGGAATTAAAAGCGCATATTGAAAGTCAAAATAAAAATGAAGATCACCAAACCAAATAACAGAGGTATTAGTACATCTACCCTGACTGGTAACAAAGAAGGTTTTGTGTGATGACGAATAGTTCAGCCTTGAAAGAAAGGTTCACACATACTTAAGACAATTAAACAAGATTTGTAATTGGAACAATGCCTGGCAAATACCATTAAGTTCTAATTAGTGTGGAATCCTTATATAGCTCCTACACAGAATACGTCGAGGCGACGTATTTTCGAAGCTCTACATAATCCCTAGTATTCTTATACTCCCGCAATTTAACGCTCACACGGCATGCATGATCCACTGTTACAAGTCTGCTGCACCGAAAACTGGACACAGGTGAGACTGAATTTTTTCTGTACAAAGCCATGGTTTATCCGGTACTCGAGTAATACCCAATCATTTTCACTTTTATGCATGAGTAGGATAGGGTTCATGCCGAAAATATCCAGCATGCTTTTGCACAGTGCCTAATAAGCAATCGTTAAATTCATATCTTTGGGGATAAGTGCATAAAATAAGAACTTGAGTCACTCTGTCTAAAACAACTGAAGCTTAACCAGAATTTCCCCTTCTATCTTCTATACACAACATCAGAAATAATCACCCATAACTTTCGATAAAGAGGCTAAATACACGCCATATAATCGTCAGAACACCCTCTCAATAACCAGATAGCAAACAAGAAACATGCAGTATTGTGCACCGATAATCAAACTTCGGTTTTCATTGCGTCTGGTCGATCTCCTGCAGAATTCTGATGCCCTGTAAGTCAGCGTCTACCAATGCCCTTCGATCTGCTTATTTATACTTTATTCACATACTGTTTAAACAATAGGATTAATAGCACTGAAAACTCCAATGCAATACCATGAGTTTGAAGAAATTTATTCGCTCAAGTGTGGCATAGAGTTGGAATCTTAGTCAGCCACTCATTCATTCAGGGGTTCCATCCCCAGCTGACATGCTCTCAAACCTCGCTTGGCAGGTAATAAGTCCAACAAAGAGGGAAGGTTGGACGTCAGACTTGCAATCCCATTCCGTAAAAATAAGACCACTGATACCAAAACTTCAGAGCCCTAGCTTGAAGCCCTCTGTTCCACCGGGAACGCAAAGGGTTATAAAATGCGAAAACAAAATGTATCCATGCTACTCTATGTATACGTCGGTGGCACAGTGGTTATGACTCCCGCCGACCATGCACATGGTCCGAGGTTCGAACCCCTACCGACGCACACCCGATATCTATGGTCAGCCCGCAAAATTTGGGCTACCGATATCCGTGCTGAAAATTCCATACTTGTACTGAAAATACGGTGTGGCATCAAGCTGTAATCAAAATAAAAAAATACTTAACATCTAACCTATGTTTAAGGACCCTCCCATCCGCATAAAGTTACATAAATCTTCTTGTTGCCCCGGCCATGATTTATTTTGAACTTCTACTGCACAATCCAATTAAAACTCGCCAGCATATAACCATTTAATATTAGGCGTCATATTACGTCTAAGATTTAGTGTCACGAACCCAAAATTAGATTATCCGATGAAAAAGTTAATTGTATGGATGGCTTGTCTCAATCTGTTCATTCACCACTTCGTCAGTCTGCTCACACAAATTGTTTGGTCGAATAAGGTATGACTGCTATGCTTTTTGCTAGATATCACGTAGGAGCCTGGCAACCGCATAACGAATAAGTTCCAACACCTACCGAAATTCGATATGCACTAAATATATGTCGTAAATACTTAAAACAGTGTGTAGGTGCTGGCATACGCATTCCAAGATCCTAGTTTCCCTCTGAGGAGTCGAGCTATTAACTGCCCGCCAACTCAGCGTTTTCTAGGAAAATGTACTCATTCAAGTCAGTGAAATGCGAAACAAACTGCACTGAACACTCACTCATAAGAACTGCCTCCATGTTTTAATTATTCATGGCCATACAACTGCTAAGGGCTTCATGGGAAATCAAGACATTCAGATACTCCAACCACAACTAAATGTGATCATAAAATGTAATTTTTTACTTTACATAAATAAGTTTGTACAATATAAGTTACACGAAATTGGTGTGATTTTGTGTGTGAACTTGGTCATGCATGTTAAAGCGGCACGCAAGTTCATGCGGATACACGGATATTATATATATATATATATATATATATAAGAAATAAATAAATATTGTCAGCCAATGAGGGTTCGCCCAACAGATCTCGAAAATCGAGTGCTCGCTCATTCCTTTTCTCTTCAAATATGCTGCTCCTAGAACAATTTTCCAGCATCTGCTGTTCATTCAGTGGAAAATTGTAGGCGTAGGTTGGCTCCTCTTCCCACCGTAATGAGATGAAATCATAACATATCACAATCTACCAATGAGCTCTCTACCAAATTCTATCCTGATAGCTGCACAGTTCTCCTTGTTCCAATATTCTCCTTAATCTGACTATCCGTTTCTCTTAGGTACCTGTATAACTCCATTATGGATAAGGTACCCGTATACTTTTATCTACTTTTCTTTTCTTAATTTATGCACTTACTAACAACTATTTTATCTGGATTAAGCGAAAGAAACAGATTAGGCAGGTTGAAATTGAGCCATTGTAATTCTTCAGTTCCTTCCCGTTACGTAAAATCACAAATAATTTTTACATCAGTACACAAAATATTCATTGACTTCAATTTCTGCTCTCTTGACCAAGCAGCATAATAGAGAGGAGTAAAAGCTGTTATTAAGCCAGTAAATGAGCATAAGAGTATGCATATATATATATATATATAGGCAAAGAAGATTATTCACATAGCAATCTCGGATACCGTCCCTCTAGTCACACCACAGCTGAAGTAAACGTCCTCACGATTGGAGAGAGATACTCAACATATTCCGCAAGCAAAGTGGAAGGCTTAGTATACATGGCGAATATCCAGCAGTAAAACTGACCACAATGGATATCTGGAACACAGGAACCAATGCAACAAAAGAGCCAGGAGTGACAGGAGGTCATTTCAGGCGAACCTTGCCGAAAAACTCCTGGTAGACCCCAAAAGCCTGTACCGACTTATGTTGGAGAGATAACTAGCCAACCTAGGGCATGCGCCGTAGTAGGTTCAATTTGTCAATACCTCATTGGTCTGGAAATGGCTGCAAAATTCAGATCAGCTTTCGCCAAACAGTTAAACAGCAATTTGGGTGTTACTGGTACGGACTGAAATGGTGGCGCTACTACTTTACCGGAGGAAAACCTAGTGGTTACTCTCCAAATAGACCCGGCAGTGGTGGTAAGGAAGCTACAGAGACTAACATCTGGGAAGTCCCCAGGATGTGACGAAATCAGGCTATTTTTTCGAAACAGTGCACCAAAGCTCACTGTAGGCCCCTATGTGACTTGTTCCAACACTCAATGGATTCAGAGAAATTGCCAAGAGAGTGGGGAGGGGCAAAATGCCACCAGTTATAGACCAGTGGGGCTAATCCCAGTGGCATAGAAATTACTGGAAAGTATTATTGACGATCACATCAGGGAGCATATCGATCGGACTAACCGACGCCATGAAGGCTAACATGGTTTCAGGAAAGGCATACCCTGTGTAACAGACCTACTATCAACTTGGGACGATTATACATCATGCTGGGGCACGAATTTTCCAGTCCATGTGGCATTTGACACAGTTCAGCATGACCTTCTCCTACAGAAAATAGGTCGGACAGGTATAGGTGAACCTCTTCTGTCATGGTTAAAGGACTGCTTAGGTGAAAGGGGATTCTGCACTCAGATCAATCGAGTGTAATTGTCCTGGCACAGCTCATCATTAGGGCTCTATCCTATGGCCACTGATGACTTTGATTTTCAGCAGTGATCTACCATGCCGTCTAAGCTGCTTGGCTCTTCATTACACTGAAGACGTAAGGATTTGGAGAGCGAAAAAGTGTTCGGAAGACTCAGAAAGGCTGCAGGCAGATCTAAAGCTTCTGGAAGACTGGGCGGTGGGCAATGGTATGACTTTCAACCTGTCCACTATTCTGAATAACCTACACCAATTATATTTATTATTATTACTATCTCTTTGATTTTGTCGACAACACCAGAAGACTTAATGGTGAAAGGATCAACTCCGTTCACAGCAGTAACAGTCTTAACATACCACATACTACAAACAACATAATTAATCCCATCACCACTCCTTTTAGAGTTGGCCATAGCTATGACAGTCGAGGGGAGGGCCGAACTACTCAGAAGTTTACCGAAGACCAGGAACCGTCACCTCACAATCCAGAAGCGAGCACATGGAAATCAAATTGGTTTAAACTAGCTCGTAAAAATGGTATTGGATATTGGACATAATTGTTGTCTGGTCTACATCTTGGTATTTTTTAATGTATCCTTCTTGTGACACATTCAAAAGTTTTGTTTGATTTCGTTAGCCTGTTTTACGACATAGCTCTACCGCTCAAAAAACTGTATTTCATGATCTCAGTACGCTGAGATATATCTCATGCTGTTGTTTGCCTCAGAATACATATGGTTAGAAAAGTTCATCGAATTTTGTAGGCGATTTTGCTTGAGGGAAAAAGTACAAACTTAAAAACGACTATTTTTCTCATTTTGCATTATGGATGGAGTTTCTCTGGCGGAGTCATTGCTGTACAGGGATATCGAAGAGGCACAAAGATCAATTAGAGTAGGTTTCTTTATCACTGAAAATTTTTTACAACGATCTCTAGAGCGAATGTGGTATGGAAATCACAAGCAGACCGTCACAAAAGCAATTGCACAGTGACCATGATGATCAAAATCAATTCACCTCACTAATCAAGAACTTTACACTGCAACCAGTTCATTGCAAAGAATTATGGTGAGGTCTTTGTATATTTAAGAAATGTATATTTCTTACGATCGAGACACATATCTCCAATGCAAGCTTGTGCTTACACTAATGCTAGATTGGTGCTGAACAGTGTGTTGATAATGTGATTTATGATCGAAAGCAGAATAGAATGAAAGAAGTAGTCCTGCTTCGACATTACTTCCCCAGTTCTTGGAAGTATTTTTGCATTGTTGTGAGATTTCGGCTGTTCACTGTGGCACAGAGTACGATTGAAATAAGGTTCATAGCATTCAGAGAAAAGTAATCAGTAGGAAATGTATCAAGCTGCAAAGTGCTCAATAAGCGCACTTAATTCCCTTCACATTATAAAAATACTTCTTTCAGGTGCTGTTGAAATGGTGTTTCATATAGTAGTCAACTTGTAACCTTGTTGATAATGTTATAGGGCTGCGTGTTTGCAGTATGCCGCATGGTAGCTTCTCCATCGGTCTGGAGGAACAGAAGCATGAACAACACGCAACTTCAGTGTCTGGAAGAAATTAAACTGCTGAGAAAGTAGTTTCTAAAGTTATCATATGAGAACTCCCAGATACTGCAGTGGTAAAGCCATCTTATGTGACAAACACGTAAGAATGCAATTGTTTTCATTTTATAGATTGAACTGAAGCTGGATTCAATGCATTTTGTAGCTATGTACCATAGCTCAGCTGTTCATTCATGGAAGGAACAAATAGCGAATACAACTGATTTTTTCACCTGCAACCAATAAAATCCAGGTTGTAGCAATCCTCTGTTAAACTGATGATAGGACTTTGAATTGCGGGCTTAGAGTATGAATCATTAATGGAATCATCTGTTTCTAATTGAATGTCCATATAATATCTCAGCCCTTACAGGGATATGGAACAACAATTTGATAGAAAGCTTATTTTAATGTTATACTCCCGTACCCATTATTTCACTTAATTCACTATCATTGAGTTGTGATTATTATTCTCAAACAAGAGCCACCTTGTTTCATATCCTTTTTCTGTACATTTTTTGTGATCTTCATTTTCATCGTATACATGTTATGGTCTAAAGTAGACGCTATTAAACTCCTAGACATTTTTCTAGTGAAAAGGACTGATGGCATAATCGAAAGACCTATATTTAGAAAGTCTTCATGGGCAGGATAGTACATACATTTCGAAAGCTTAGTTCCAATCCAGTATAAAAAGAACTTAATCGCAACGCAGTTCAATACAGCATGTAAGATTTGTTCTGATAGTACAATTGAGCATGAAATAAAAGCACCGAAGGATATTTTATCTAAGAATGGATATCCTGAGAAGTTCATTAATAAATACTCCAAAGAAATTGAGGCCCTGAAAAACTATCCAAATAGTTTCAAGAAGTAGTTAAACAAAGAATTGACAAAGCTATCAAGGGAACGTATTATGCTGCAAAACTTGTTTTCCTTTAAATCACTGGGCGAATGCTCCAGCAATCAGGGAAAGACCAGTCGTCAGTCCTCTACACTTCAAGCTGTGTATATCAGTTTGAGTCTGTTTGTGGAGGCAAATATACAGTTTGTACAGAAAGGCGATTTTCTACTCACTTGATGGAGCATTTGCCAAAGTGGTCGAAAACAGTTGAATGCAAAGTGCCAAAACCTCAATAACAAAACATCTTGTGGACTATGGACATGATATTGACGCTGTCAAGTCATCCACTATTGTCAGCAGACAAAGAAACAGGAAGATGCTTACAATTGCACAGGCTTGTGCAATTCGATTTTATAAACCAGGTCTCTGTATTCAAAAGGAGATGGTCGTCACGATGATTAATTCAATGTAGTTTATTTGTTTAACAGTCTTATATCTCCTCAGGTGACGAGTTCTACCGGAATTTGATGAATTCAATAAGCCCTACTTTATTAACCTTTGTTACTTGTTTTAAATTCGTGTTTTCAATTCTGTCTATGTATCATTTTCATTTACCTCATCAATACCCCTACCCCTACTGTCTCAGAATATATCCGTGTTAAATCAAAGCATAAGTGTAAAACCTTTTGTCTTGTATTCAGATAAGCAGAGTTAGTATCATAACTATTCTACTCTCGAACATGAATATTACTCTTAGTTAAACACAATATAAATACGGGTCAGAAACTTGGTGTGTCACGAAAAGGATTTCCCACAGGTTGCAAACTTTTATCAACAGCTGCCTTTGCTGGCTCCATGCTGAAGATCAAATGGCCAGAAAGAATAGGCAACAGGAAACTCTGGTTGGGAATAAACCAACTAAGAGCCAACCGCTAAACAAATGAATGACATCGCGCTTCAGGCCCTAGAGTGGATTCCAAATGGGAAGCGATGAATGGGTGGTCGATATGAGCGTTACATGGAGTTGGTCGTGTGAGAAAGGGATGAGAGAGTTCGATCAATCGTGAAACCAGTTGACAAGGACAGCAAAAAACAGAACAAAGTGGAGATATATTGTTGAAGTCCTGTGTTCCACTCGGAAGGCAAGGGAATAATAGTAATAATAAAAAATTGTGTCATTTGCTTAAATTATATTTCATGACATTGAAGGCATTATCCACTTGACCTTTTTAGTTTACTTCTTATTTATTTATGTAGGAATGAAAACAATAAGCATCCAAGTAATAAGTGTATACGTCGATTTCAAAAGTTTCAAGATCAACTTGAAAAGTATTTAAAAGAAGGCATAAAAGTAATACGCCTATGCTCTTATGTTCGTTGTTCTTGTTTTTGTCGTTGTTGTTATTTCCCATATTTCGGTTCTGTCCTAAAAGCAAAAAGGCTTTTTGTCGAAATAATTTCAGGGAACGGAATATCAAAAAAAGCTGTTGTGACACAACTAAGCACAAAATAAAGACTCATCAATTCTTTTTTATTCCAGGACTAGCTTTTTGACAGTCAGATGCAAATCTTTGATATTTTGCAGCTCCAAACGGCATCTAGCAGTCTGCATAGAAACTGATATCAGTTAGAGAACCATTGAAAACCAGGAAGTACTAGATAGCCAGATATTTCGTCCTAGTCTAGGACTCATTAGCAGTGCTCACTGATATTACTAATGCTTGTCAGTGACTGGCCACAGGATGAAGTTGACTGGAGCTATACTGAGAAGACATGAGCAGTGAGGTTCACTCAGTCAGGAGTGAGGGCAAATACTCGCCGCCGATGACACTGGCTAGTGGTCGTACTAAAGTCACCAATCAGTAGCAGCTAGAATTCACGTGATGGCCATCGAGTTGGGTCCCAGCGGCTGCACGACCAACGAGCTTGCCTTTTAACTGGAAGTTCCTAGGTGTTCCTAGTTGGTGAGTACTTCTGATAAGCCCTAAACTAGGATGAAACAGATTTCGAGTAAGCCCTGGTCTTCAATTGTTCTGTAACTGATATAAATCCTTGATTGAACTTGGAACAAATCAAATCCCTACAAACTAACTCATGCGCAGAATTCGACACCTCATATCTGACACTAGAAGTTTTCCAAAAATATAAGACATTAGGTGCAACTATTGTGGATACGTACAGAGCCAATATGAATACTGAAGTACTTGTTTGACCTTTGATCATTCTTCAGCATGTATTAGTTGCATTCTGCATACTGGTTACAATTCTAACCTTTGTCCTAAATAGGTTAAGGTGACTTAATTATCCACACTTACAGCTACATAGTTTTGCAAATTAGTATCAAACACAGTCTAAATTCAAGGCTGCTGCCCGATTCTCCACAAAGTGTCGGTGCTCTGGAATAAAACCGTTTTTGTGTCTAATTTTAGAGAGTTTATGAAGTTTGGGAAACCACTATGTTTGTTACGTTGGGAATACTGCTTAGTACAATGCTGTACAAATCTTGAGTAACTGATTTGTACGAAAGTGGGACTATGTTATCGTTATAAAGATACGTAATAATCAACTGAATACTTTATAACGGTTACTTAAATTGCGCCAAACACATTGGAGCTTAACGATGAAAGGGTATCTTAATGTTATGCACGGAAGTAATAAATCAAAAAGACTACTCTTTGAAAACAGTTATTGAAGAGGTATGTTTTGGAAAATTTTGACATCTTAAACTGCATAGTAAGCCTAGAGTAGTGTCCCATGCCAGTTATCATGTTAGATGGGTTCAGTGTAAAATTTTTTGTCCGGTTTCTACACAATATAGGCAGTTCCGAAGTAAGACAGCAAATACCTAGTAACAATATGTATCTCAGTGTACGTGAAAATTAGTCACACCTATTGTGTTGAAAGCTGTCAAGGTAGCCTAGCTGTTCACAGACTGTAAGTTGAATAGAGTTCGAACCCGTAACCCAGTAACTGAAAGATATAGTTGTACTTTGAAATATGTCAAAAATGACATCTACTAACATTATTTCTTCACCTTTTCACTACTGACTCTTGTAGATCTTTCAGCGTTAAAACTCAGCATCCTTAATAATATTCTTATCAAAAGCTTCACTTGTTTTGGAACTGTAAATCCCCCCTGTTTTGGTTGTGAGTTATAAGAACATACGATTTCTAAGTCAAAATTCAGAATTTCACGCGTCAAACTCCTTCATGATGATATTTTATTATTATGGTTATTATTACCATTATTACCTGACTTCTGAGTGGAACATAGAGCTTTAGAAACATATAGCCATTTTACTCTGTTCCCTTGAGCCTTTTTCAGCTGGCTCCTCAAATGCCTACAAACTTTCACTTTCTCCTCACACGGCCTCAACCCTGTAACACTCAGCCTCACTCTTATCACATTGTTACCCCTTTGTGGGCCAATTTACGACCTAGCCCGTAGTGTCACTAAGTGACCTCCTTAGGATGTGTCCGATTCATCTCCATATCCTCCTGCATATTTGTTGGGTCAACAGGCCCTTGGTTCATTCGTTGTCAGAGTTCTTTGGTGCTTATTCTTCTCGACTACCCGGCTATCTGTTCTTTAGTGTGGAACTAGGAGAGCAGCTGTCGATGAAAATTTGAAGCCTGATTTTGTCTATTAAAATGAAATCTAAGTTTCACAAGTCATATTGTAACAACAGAAGACAAGGGCCAGGCAACAGATCGTTTATTAAGGAAAATCAACACATATTTATAGATTTTAATGTACATTATTGAGATTATTGTTAGTAGAAAATACAGTCTTTTGATTGGTTGTTTCTCACAGAAAGTTAACCTTGCATCTGTTTGTGGCTGTGTCAGATCATCTATATGCTAAGTGTAACCGCCTACGCAAAGCCTTTGTTCTCATTTTCTCGCCACCAAAATTGGGGACATAAACACTGACGTCAATTACTGTCTGCCAACTTTGGCTAGCAGCCAGCTCTCACCACAATATTAGTACAAAAGTGTAACTCATTTTTATAGACGCATACAATTTATAAAATGAATTTTAGTCTTGAGTGCTAAAAAAACTGTACAGCTTAAGGTAATCATGTTTTTGCATAGAACACAGTTATCAACAGCAATGTAGGCGTGTGTATTACGTCACTTTAGGAATAAATTTCAAAAGAGACAAAATATTTCACGATAAAATAACCGATAGTTCACTAGAAATCAGCAAATTTATGGTATCTGGTTTAATCTGGTTTCTAATGATGAAAAGTTTTTTAGGCTTTGAAAAATTCCCACCACGTAGAATTGAGAACACATAAATCAGCAAAGAGATCTCTTTTGGTAACTTGACTTCCCAAGGACCTCCACTGCCTTCAAGAAATGTAGGAGAGTGTGCTTTGACTCTTGTACACGTCTTCCAGTGACAGCAGAGACATAATCGTCGAATTCTGACCATACATCATTAGATAAATCATCAAGCACACAGCGCACTTAGCCGATATTCTGTTCCAGTGTAAGTACATGGGACAGCAGATCGTCAGTCATATTCAAAGCATGATGCTTCAAAGTTTGATGATATGAGTGTATATAACTGACTCCTTCATAGGACTTTCCAGAAATACTTCGGATACTGATGATTTATGAAACAGTCTTCAATACAGGCAACTTTTGACTTTGCTTTAACAATCCTGGAGAACACACACACACACCTGAGCTCCTTAGATTTCTTTATGGGGCTAAAACACATGAATCAGCAAAGAAATCTCTTCTTTTCGTAATCTTACTTCCTAGATAATTCACTTCTTAAGAAAAAAAAGAGTGAAAACTCAATTATTTTATTAGTTTGAAGAGAGAAAGGACAAACATGTTTGCAGGATAATACGAGCTCGTTTTATTTCGTGGATACTCATCAACTGCATACATCCTAAGTAAAATTAAATAATAATTTTCAAAAAAGTTTTGGAGCATACTTTTTCATAATTACTTGGAGTTATAGATAGAATGTATAAGGAACATAATTCCAGAATTTGATGTAGATAGACATATTATTCGGTGTCGAAAAACAACTAATTATATATAGTGGATGGGTGGGTGCGTACTGCTGAAGAGTCCCAAACTACGACGGAGGAAACAGCTGTCCAGTACTCCCAGGTTTTCCAATGGTTCTCTAACTAATGTCAGCTCATGATGAAAATCCTGTAACCAATCAAATCCCTACAAACCAACACTTGTATATATAGTGGAATTAGATAAGAGGGGTAAGAGTTCAGATTTCTATTGGAAAACACAGATTGGTTAGAGGCATATTACAGGGTCAGGGTCAGAGAACAGAGTGAATTCATACATCTTGTGGTGGAGAGTTTAAGAGGGTGGGGGTGAATAGTGAAGTAACATTTTTAACTTAAACAGACGATTAAGTAGATTTAGAAACTTGAAGGTCAAAATTGAATAGAATGTTACGTAACAAGACAAACACACAGGCATACTGACAGAAAGGCAAAACAAAAATAAAATAAAGTTAGGGTTACCGAGGTAGTAAAAGATTAATCACACTATCTTTCTGTATACAGAGGTCTGGTCGAAATCTTTTGATAGCAATGGCTTCTGCGAAGCGAAGTAGCCATGGGTTTCTTTGTGTATTGATTATTTTGAAGGCTTGGCTAATTTCTACTGTGTGTCCTGTGTCAATTAAATGTCTGGCGACTTCACTCGATAACACTTTTATTCCTTTTGTACAGAGACTTTTAGGAATGTGCTCAGAAAATCTAGTAGATGCTGTTCTCTCAGTCCTTCCTATGTACTTGCTTCCGCAGGTGCACGTGAATTGGTAAATGCAGTTGGAGTTGACGTGAGTAGGGTACTCATCTACTTTTGACTGGGTTAACGAGCACACAGTGTTGTGAAATAGGATCAGTCTGGCGGCTGGAAACGTTCTTTTTAATGCACCTGTGATTCTTTTTTGTGTTCTTGTGGATACGTCTTCCCCTTTGTACGCTAGGCAGATGAAAACTGGTTTCTTTTCAACGGTGTCAGGTTTCGGTTTGTGTGCTTCTTTATTTCTTTACTTTAATATGAACTTTCGAGAATATCCATTCTCGATAAGGTTCTTTTCGATGACTGCGAGTTCTTCTTCAATCTTGTCTTCCGAACATATTTCTTTGGCTCCGTTGAAGAGCGTTTTTACTAGACCTCGTTTGTAACTGGTTGGGCAAAAGCCGTGATAATTTAAGTATTGACCAGTCCTGTAGACAGATTTTTGAATCGTCCCATCGTTTCTTCTTTTTATGTTGACATCTAGGAAATGGAACTGGTTGTTTCTTTCGTAGTCAATTGTGAATGCAATATTGGGATCATTTTAATTTTTACCTTTCTTTTAACAAACGTATATTGTTATTTTTGTTTTGAAGATTGAATCCATTTTGGTAAATAATCTTGACAAAACTTCACACTGTATCATGAAAGAAAGTCATTTTCAGTGTTGTCAAGACTTTACAAATGTACAAACTTGTATTAATTCTTTATACTCTACAACACTTTATGTGAGTATATAATGTTTTTTTTGTTGTATTTAATAGTAATTATGAATTAATTAAATTACTCTCCATTTTTATTGGTAATGTGATTTTCATTCAATAATGTAATTTTTATTATTATCGATAATAATGTTGATGATGATGGCTGTTAGTAGAATTTAACATGTGGGTTTTTTATTTCCAAGTTTTGTTTTTCAAGGATATGGCTGATTTCAAGATCCATCTCAGACTGATTTAAGTTGGTAAAACATTGAAAACCGGGGTACTGTTTGTCCTTGTTCGGAACACCTCAGCAGTTCACATCCATAACCTCGACAGAGATTGAAACTAGAACTTTCAGGGTACAAAGCGAGCTCGTATACCATTCAAACACCAAATCTGGGTGCAATTACCCGCTCCCTTCTAACTTTTATATCTGTGTCAAACTCGCAGAAGTGATGTACTTATATTCCTCTTGAGTGATAGAATTTCTTTATTTTTCAAGTATTGGTTTGTAGGGATTTGATTGATTGGTTACAGGATTTCATCATGAGCTGACATTGGTTAGAGAACCATTGGAAAACCTGGGAGTACTGGACAGCTGTTTCCTCCGTCCTAGTTTGGGACTCTTCATCAGTACGCACCCACTGCCAAGGGTTCGAACTCAGAACCTTCCGGTTTCAAGGCGAGTTCTTAGACCATTAAGCCACTGGGATCCGATCCAGTGGCCAGTACATGAATTCTAACTTCTGCCAGTTCACGATATAGCGCGACCCCTAGCCAATGTCTTCGGTGAGTATTTGTCCTCACACACCCCGACCTGCTGCACACTACTGGTCACGAATTCCCACTAGAACCCCAGGTAACTACCTACCTGAATATGGCAAGTCACCAGTGAGCATCTCATTGATATTCAAGTATTGGTTTGTAGGGATTTGCTTGATTGGTTGGAGGATTTCATCTTGATCCAACATCAGTTAGTATTTCTGCTGAGATTCCCATCTAGTATTCTTTCTTTTAAATACCCATTGTCATAATTTAAGGATTCTAGTATTGAATGGTGAGCTTAGCTTTCAGCTGGAGTAATATAGTACATTTCCCTGAGGAGAGTCCTAAACAGGCATCTTTGTTTTCACTGTTAGTTATCACTAGACAAGCAACATTATTTCAGTTGATTTGCAATTCCTATTGATTTATTTCGTTGAGTGGAAACTCTCAGTCTGTGTTGACATGTTGCAGAGACCGAGCATTTCGGCAGCCTAGTGGATAATTCTTTAGTATTTGAAACGGTGGGTACAGGTTTCAAGCCCTGGTGGGAATGCCAAAACTCACTGGGGATGCAAATGCATCCAGATGAAAAGTTCCAAACAGGATGAAATGTGCATCTTGGATCTTACTGCTACTCATCGCTATCAATCAACACAGATTGTTCAGTGTGTCGTAGAAAATAAGTAGGACTACTAGAACTGTGCGTAAGACAGTACACATGAATGAATATAAGACGTAACAGCTATGGATCAAACTTCTCGTGGTAAGAGACAGTAGACAGTTTTATGGTATTACCTGTTCATCACAATTTTCGTCCAGTTCACCTACCAATTACTGTCAAACTAATTAAGTAGAGTAGAATGTACATACTGAATAAATTGCTTTTTTAAGATATAGAGTTAAGTTTTCTAAACAAAACTTAGAAATATGATAAATTTACTTAAAACATTGAGTTGACTTTTGGAAGCCTTATTACTTACAGTTTTTATAGTCAATTGTTGCTATGTTTTCAAATGTCATTTTTTTAATACCTTTGACACTTTACATGAGCTGATACCTGGTCAGTGTAAGTCTCGATTACTGTGGTCCACATATTCTGATAGTTGTGTAGTGTTTTATGATACCTGAATTTATTCTACAGCGTCATTATCACACATCTCAAACACTCCTGTCTGTTTGTTTTCTGTGTATAGATACTACAGTATGAATTGTTTTGTAAGGTCACCTGTATTTTTTCTCCTAACTCTTCCTAAATACCAGCAGTCTGATTTAATAACGCATGTCAGTCTTATTTTCAAAATATTCGATACAGTCTTTTATTCAGTGGAACGTTTTCACCTGTAGAAATGATAAAAAGCTTGGATATAGAATTCAGTCATACTATACCTCTAGTTCTGTGTAGGAACGAAAACCTACTCGTAGAGATCTAAATTCAGAGAACAGATCCTTGTGTCGTATTCTACAGCTATCCAAGACTTTCTTGAGAAATCCATTGTCACAAGACGCTCGAAAGGCAACATAAAGGACGATTTTCAAGTGTTGGTTTTCAGGGTTTTGGTTTGACTGGTTACAGGATTTCATCATGAAGAGGACCATTGGAAAATCCTCAAGTATCGGGCAGCCGTTTCTTCCAAACCCGGGACTCTTCTACAGTACATACTCACCGGGGTTCGAACCCAGTACCTTACGGTTATAAGGCCAGATCTTGGAACGAGACCCAAAAGTCCATGACTTCCATCTTTTGCCAGTTCACTATTGTTCATGATTGGAATCTTTGTGTGGTTCTCTTTAGCAATAATAATAACAACATCAAAAACTCAAACCTACCTCAATAGCGCCGCTAGACATACACACAGACGAGGTAACTTTTCGGTTACAAAACAAGTACTGTAGAGTAAAATTGGTTAACCAAAATTCAACTGTAAGGAGTATCTTCCCAAGAAGGTTGGGATCAAAAACTCAATCCACAAGAGAATCACACACCAATGCTTTCCTCAGACAATCCAAGACCTGAACGGCCTTGATTCACTCAAACAAAATCACATGGTAAAACAACACATAAGCAATGTATTGCACAACAACAAAAAGAAGTATTAAAATCAGAGATTAAACAAGGACTAAGTCATATAATAAGGATCAAATCAACACGTGATATGTAAATGTCAAAATAGGGATATACAGTCTAAAAGAATAACGGATAATAATTACAGAGTTAGCTGAAATACCCAAATATGTACAGATATTGTGATTAGGTTTTTCAGGAGAGATTTTCTAAACAGTATTCCCGTTATACGCTGTTCCCTTAGAGAAATGTAATCACCTGCACTGAAATGTGAATTTGTACAGCCATATAACAATCAATCCATCTGTTTTCAATGCTTCGAACAGATGCATCTTTCAGTAGAAATAAAGCATAAGTTTTAATACAGTAATTAATTTATCATGTCAACCCACGGAGTCTTTCGAAGTGAAGACTGGAGTAAGACAAGCTGGCTGCCTACTGTCTGCAATAATTTTCCTGAATATGGTAGACTGGATAATGTGACAGACAGCGGCGGGTAGCAAGGAAACAGGCACAAAATGCACTCACACAAAACTTGGTGGATCTGGACTTCACCGATGATATATGTCTGATTTCCCACAAACTCGAAGATACGCAAGTGAAAAGCAACAAGTTGACGATAGAATAAGCATCCAGGGAAGATAGGAAGGACTTCAGGTGAACATAGAGAAAACAGAAGTGATGATGAAGATTCCTGGCCAACAGCAACAGAAACAACAACAGACAACGATCAGCATGAATGGGAGAAATCTGAAAGAAGCAACCTCCTTCACACACCGACCTACCTGGGAAGCACCATTTCAACTACAGGCGGACGGAATTGATGAAGATATCAAAGTAGCGAGAATCGGGAAAGCGAGGCAAGCTTTCAATACTCTCAAGTCTGTGTGGAGATCAACAGCACTGGGGATGAAAAACAAGATCCGGATTTTCAACTCCAACGTGAAGTCAGTGCTACTATACGGATGGATCAGGGACCTTGGCCAGTGCGTCACGAAGAGCACTTCGAACAAACTACAGACCTCCATCAACAGTTGTCTTCACTCAATAATACTCAAGATCAGATGGCCAACCAGGAAAGATCAGCAACAGGGATCTCTGGGAGCGAACCAACCCACCAGAAACCGATTGTGCAGCAAATATTCGGGAAGGAATGTACGTGGATTGGCCATACTCTGAGAAAACAAACCATCAAGTGACATCACTAGACAAGCCATTGCTCGAGTGGAACCGGAATGGGAAGCGGCGAGTTGGTCGTCAGTGTGAGGGTGGGGTGACATGGAGGAAGTCACGTAAAGAGCAGATGAAAGCATGTGGGCAGGTGTGTAGCCAGGTGAAGACGTTGGCATAGAACCGAACGCAATGGAGACGTGCGGCAGAAGCCCTTTATTCCACGGAGAACTTAAGGAAACAGTAATATTAATAATTATGAGTGAATGCAAACTTAGTTTCTTCTGAAAGTAATTGAGTTATAATTTTAACCAGTTTATCACAAGGCTTGTACCATAAATTTAGGCAGATGGAAGAATCATTTTTACGAGACAAATATTCCAATGAAGTCACCAGTAAGTTCAGGGAAACTAACCATATGAAGAGAAATAATAATTAATCTATTAACTTTAGCCTAAATAATAAGGATTTCAGGGCATTCAATCTAAGAAAATAATATATAAAACGCACAGTAGGACTACTACAGCTTTACTTTAGGTCATACACCGAGACTGAATAACTCTGTTAACCATATTAGAAGAAATTAACCTAATCTTCATAACACCTTTCATTGACTGTGAGGTCAACCACACTGATCACTCTAGTAGATCAGGGTTAGTTAAGTTACCTTAGCATAAGAATCAAGGGGGCTGTAGAATGATTGATCCCAACAATCTGACCAACTTAAAGAAAAAGTCATCTATCGCCATACATACCCTAACACACAAGAAGGTGGAATAGAACTACAATTCTTAAGGCTAAAAAAGTTGGGTGACTGATCACTGAATCCTACTTTATCGAATGTAGACCAACCATCTGTATTGGAAATGATGCAGCACCTATAACCAAGATCTGAAAAATATTATTACCGATAAGATCAAAGGATAAGAAGTAATGTGACTAGTATGAAGAAAACTTGAAAGATGTGATGTAAGAACCTTGATATAATTATGAGCAACAAATTGTACTTTCACTGTTTAGTAAATAAATAATAATAATATCTCAAAAGTAAGGTTTGGGTGCAATGGCCTACTGACGCATTTCTCAACGTCACCTGGGTCACAAGCTTGTAGTGATATCGGAAGAGATGAAAAGTTGGATATGAAGCTAACAGCCTCACCTCATATAAAACAGAACTACCGATGCCGAAACATCAATCTCAAAGTGCCATATTTCATTCAGAAAGGAAAACATATGCTTCACTAAATAAAACTATTTTTCATATATTTATGCTCCATTACAGTCCTTTGTTTCTATTTTTATTTTAGTATAAGACACTTTAGTTATTCCATGTAGAATAACTTCAAATTTTTTATGGGCATTACTGAATTTTTGTTACTGACGTGTGAATTGGGTTATTTTATTTTTTTCTCAAAATAATTTGATTAATGAAAGTGTGGGCGGTTTTGGTGGTTTAGGTTTCATAGATTTTTTCATGAAACATTCTGGATAGCCATTTTCTTTTGACACTGCTCAGCTGCTCTTCCATAGTATCAGGACTGCATATGCTGAGGATTCTACGGATTGGTGAATGGATCAAGTTTCGTTTTGTGTGAAGGGCACCCAGCTATAGAAGTCTGTGTGTTGTCCACTCCATGTCGGCTTTCTGTAGATGGATCTTTTTAGTGTTCCATCTTATTCACGTCTTGTTAATTGGACGTTCACTGAGCCACACACAGTATTTGCATCCCTGATACTATGGCAGGGAAAAAATGGACACTCTCAAAAGAATCCTCCTAGAAAATGGCTACCAAGAACCTCTTATCACAATATCCATAAAGCCTAAGCCACTATAACAGCCCTGACTTTCTGTTCCTAAAAAACTACTGTACTGGAATCTACAATTCAAAAGATACTAACACACAGAAATCGTGAGAAACTACTTTTCGCGCTCATTGAAGAAAACCTTCTTTGCGGCTGAACTCCCACTAACCTTCACTACGTTATTTAAATTATGAAAAAAAAGAGTTATGTACTTTGTAAAGTAGTTCATGAATTGTATAAATCTCAAAGTGTGTGGGCGTGTGGAAATCATAAAATTAGTAGGCAGTAAAAAAAAAACACAACATGGTGATAATTATGATAACACAATATTGCAACTAAACTATATTTGTAACGACAGAAGGCAAAAGTCAGGCAGCAGATCATTTATTAAGGAAATCAACGCATATTTATATATGTTTTCATGTACATTACTATGGATATGTAAACAAACAAACACAGTCTTCCGATTGGTTGTTTCTCACGTAAAGTTAATCTTTCATCTATTTGTGACTGTTTCTTGAATGTCAAATCCTCTATATGTTAACTGCATCCGCCTACGCAAAGTCTGCTGTGGTCGGTTTTGAATCAATCTTTGTTTACATTTTCTCACGACAAATCTTGGGAACGTAAATATTGACGTAAATTACTGTCTACCAATTTGGCTAGTAGACAGCTCTCACCACATATTGAATTAAATAAACAAAAGGTGACAAGTGAGATAATATCAAAAATCATTCAAAGTGAAATTGATAATAACAATCGAAATAATTATAATAATAACGGAAGGTTATGCAAGCTGAATAAACCAAACCAAAAATAAATACGACCGAAGTAGGAATGGCGATTATAATAGTTTTGTATTAGTGGATAAAGACCATGAAAGACGGAGTAGTTGAACAAAATTCCTCTTCATAAAAAGGTATAGCGTTTACGCTCCGATGGTTAAAGCTTCAGCCCATACAGATGAGTAGGATACAACACAATTTTTGGGACTGGTTATTTCTCGCCTTAAAATATAAATTTAAAGGAAAACGCTGTAGCAATAAGCTGACCAGTATCGACCGAATGTTTGACTGTCGCGCTTCTTATAGCCCCACTACCACATCTTTGTAATCATGCAGAATAAGGCTGTTGTACTCTACTGGACAAAACCCAGGTCCACAGCATCAAGTGAATCCACAAATACACAGCTAACCAACTCTAAGTGCTTTGGATACAGCATATAAATATGTAAGCTTGAATAAAATCCTTGAGTGTGTGCGCGCCCACTTATAACTGAGATTTACCTTTGGCCTTCTAGAAAACAAAGTTCAGCTATAAGATTACGAAAGAATCAGCTCACCAGTGACCTTGAATCTGTCAGTCCAAGAGATAGAGATAGATGACTTCTCTTCAGAATTTAAGGAACCGGTTTCACTCGTTTACTCCATCTGGTAGATCCAAAATCATTCATTCACTCATCTTGTTGAAGTCAAATAGTTCAGCTTCATCCACTATTTTGGTTACGAAAAAAAAAATACAATATCTGAAATTGTATTCTCCTACACTTTCTTGAAACCTACCCACTACACTTGTATAAATGTATAAATTCTCCATTATTAATGGCATAACTATTGATTATATAAATACATATTCTTTGATATATTGGACAGGTCATACAACTTTTAAAAAGTATACAAGATGTTTATTCAATTCAAATTCCTGTTTACATATATTCAACAATTCAACGTCCTTTAAATTTGATTCGAGCTTTTCAAAATGATGAAGGAAATTTGTTAAAAGTGAGTGTTTTTTGTTTGGTCTTGTGAATTAAACGAGATAAAATACCAGTAACAGGTAATTAATTTATAAAGTGTATGCAATTTATTCCAGAATAGTTTAATCTACATAATGAAATCTCTAGATCATTGTGTGATTGGTTTTCATTTAACTACTTTAGCAACAAATATGATCGATAATTAGTGACTGGCATTCGTGTCCGTGAAGCGTGTTTCGTTCTGTTTCTGCATCGATCACCGTATCTACCTAACCGTTAGTGACTTATGGTATCCCTACATACGATAAACATGAATAAATAACTTTAAAGTATACGCCCTGAACCGTGAAGTAATTTGGAAACTACTCAAGTACTATGGCGTACCTCAAATATTCATCAACCTTGTTCAACAGCTGTACGACAACGGCACATGTCAAGTAATCCACAACGGAAAACTCACCGAGGCGTTCGCAGTAAACACAGGAGTCAGACAAGGGTGCTTATTATCACCAATGATATTTCTAATTGTGGTGGACTGGATTATGCGTCAAACAGTGGGAAACGAGAAGACAGGGATGTCCTGGACCGACGTGAAGAAACTAGAAGACCTGGATTTCGCGCGTGGATGATTTATGTTTGATGTCACACAAAATCGAAGACTTACAAGCGAAAACCAACAAGCTAGTCGAAGAAGCAGCAAAGACAGGACTCCATGTGAACATAGACAAGACAGAGGTTATGAAAATAACCAACCAACAACAACAACATTAACAGCAGCAACATCCAGCACCAATCACCATCAACCAACTGGAGGGATTTGAAAGAAGTCACTTCATTCACTTATCTAAGGAGCATTGTCTCAAATACAGGAGGGACGGACGAGGATGTCAAATCGAGATGACAATCACGAAGGCGAGAAACACATTCATCAACCTGAAACCAATCTGGAAATCTTCGTCACTCAGCATCAACAACAAAATTCGGATTTTCAATACAAACGTCAAGTCAGTCAGTTCTTCAATACGGATGGATCAGAAACTTGGCCAGCGGGTCACAAAGAATATTCGCAACAGTCTGTTGCACACCTTTATCAACAACTGTCTTCGCTGGCTCTATACTCAAGATCAGATGGCCGGAAAGAACAAGAAACAACAAGAAACTATGGGAAGAAACAAAACAAGAACCAATCGCCCAAGAAATATGCAGGAGAAAGTGGAGATGGATTGGATACTCCCTGATGAGGCCGCTGGGTGACATCGCACGTTAGGCCAGTGCTCGAGTGGAACCCGAAAGGGAAGCTGTGAGTGGGACGTCCCAGGGTGACATGGAGGAGATCGTGGGAAGAATGGTTGAAACAGTATGGACTAACATGGGTGCAGGTGAAAAGTAGAGCAGAAGACAGAAGCAAGTGGAGACGTGCAGTTGAAGCCCTATGTTCCACTTGGAACCCAAGGGGACAATAATAATACGCCATGAACAATCGATAGCCTGCATCATGGCCGAGTGGATAATGCTTTTTCGTCCGAAGAGAGTGACAGTGGATCCGAGTCCCAGCAGGAACGTCACCACTTACTGGGAAGCAGATATATCCGTGTGATAAGTCCAAAATAGGAGGAAAAAAGGCATCCTAGATTCCAATACCAGCCATT